TTCAATAGGTTAAGAAAGTATTCAAAAATAAAATAAAATATTGTCTCTTTGTGTTTCAATATGTTGAGAAAGTATTCAAAAATAAAATAATATAAAACATCTGTTTAACGCGCAAAAAAAAATAAAATTAAGAAAAACGATATTGTTTTTGAACCGTACAACAATTGTGGCCCAGGAGATCCTGAAAGTGGTCCCTATGGGCTATGGTGGTGGTCTAGGTGGACGGCGCCGTGGAAACAATGCAGGCTCGCTCCCTGCTTGTGGCTCCTGCTGTGGTGGTTAAGCACTAGTGATGCAAAATTTCAATATTCCGATTTCCGAGTGCTTGCTTTTGGAAATTTTAAAAATATAGTATATATGTTTCACAATTAATACAAAGTCCGTATTATCCTATTTCCTTGTAAAAAAAAAAAATTAATTTCAAGATTCAATATTAAATTGTATATTTCTGCCCACAATGAGCTCTAATGAGTTAATTCTATTTTTTGTTCTAATCTATATTTATAAGTGTCAGTTAATTTTTAGTCTTTTTTCCAAAACATTCTCATTTGGTCCTAATATTATTGTGACATGACCATTTTTTGTCGAGGTAAACAAAACCGTTTAAATGACCTTAAATATAAGAATCTTTTGGTCTATTTAATTTTAATTGTTAAGTCATTTTTCTTTTTTGGTTCTAAATTTATATGCGCCATTCTATTTTTAGTCTTTTTTTTTCTAAACATTCCAATTGGTCCTATATCATTATTGTTGCATGACCATTTTTGGTCATCCGTCAGCAAATATGTTTAAATGGCATTAAAAATAACATTATTAACCACTAAAAATAGTACTCGTACTCCGTAACATTTGTTTTCTAACCTGAGGTGTGATTAAGTGGAAGGACTCATCGTTAAAAAAAAAAAAAAAAATAGTGGAAGAACTCATCTATCATTAATCAAAGATAAATGTTCGGTCCAGGCAAGCTGTCCTACCCAATTTTTTGTCACCAATTGTTTTTCCTTTTTTTTTTTTTTCCCTCCCCTTATTCTCTCTCATCTCTCCTAGTTGTGGCTGACAACCCCCCACCACCACCCCAAAAAAAATAAAAATTCAAACTATTGAACCTACTATTAAAAAATATATCTACAAAGTTACATTAAAAGTTTTCAAAGTAGTACAAACTAATACAATAAGATAAGTTTAGTCAACTCTACTTTAAACAAAATCGTACAATAACATAAGAGCTAAGTCCAATAAGAAAAGATCTTAATACAATCTCAATATTTTTGTGCTTCCATTCTTTTTATAGCATTTTTGTCTTCTTACTCCATTCTTTTTTTTTTTGGTGGGTGGGGGGGGGGGGGGGGGGTAAAGGGAAGGTGCGGGCCTTGAGGATTTAATGAAATCTTCTAAAAGCAACACTATTAGCATCGCGAGCCAGCATCAATTGTAACTCCTCCAAAGACTGGATAAGGATCGTTGTGTCCCATGGAGAGTTTGGATCCAAATTGGCAAAGAAGTTGACACATTGGTTTCCTTCCCGAAGGACATGTTTGAGCTCAAAGGCGGGGAAGTAATGCATGAGAGACATGCAGTCCGTGATAAGGGTATCCACCTCCGGAGAGGACCCTAGGTTTTCATTGAGAACTTATGGCCATTGAATCAATTTCCGCCTCTATTTTGTCAAAACCGTGATCTCTTGCAAGGCGACAAGGCGCAGACCTTCTCGGAAACCCCAGAGTTCGGCAACGAAACTGTTGGTGTATCTGATTTTAATAATAAAGCCAGCCACACAAGTGCCCAAGTGATCTCGTAAAATACCACCTGCGCTAGCGAGGCCGGACTATGATTTCTTCGCCCCATCTGAGTTGAGTTTCACCACCCCTGGTTGCGGCGGAGACCATTGAACCCAGATCTGTTTAGCCAACAAGAGCCCATTGCGTTTGTGAGGACCTGATACGCTTCATTGGCCTCAAACCTTGCCTGATTCTTGATAAGACATTTCTTTTATCTTCTTTCTTTTCTTTTGCCACAATTGACCTGATAATAATTTGCCATTAAATTTTTGCTGAATTTGATCTCATCTCTATAAATCTTCTCATTAGTACTTGCTAATATTGAACTTTCATTAGTAGTAATTTAGATAATACAGTAATAATACTCATGATTTTTTTTTTTGTTTGTATTTTATCACTTTTTTAAAAAAGTCAAAGAAAAACACCTTATGCTGAAAATGAAATTTTGAAAGAAATTTATATTGAAATTTTAGTGAATAATTTTGTATCTAAATATGCTTGAAGAATGTCACTTTTATGTTAAATTTTGATTTATATTTTTCTTTGTTGAATATTTTATACATTATATTTTGACAAAGAAATTAAAATAAATATTGCATTGCTATTTTATATTTGCACTAATATAATCTGTGTGCCCTGGCCCCTGTGCCTATTGGGTCATTTGATTAAGCCCAAGAAGATTAAAATTAGGCTAGGAAGTAATTAAGCAAAGGGATGGGTTTGAACTTTGAAAGGAGGTTGGGCTAAGCAGTTGGGGAGGCGAGCAATCGTTATACCGTGAACCTTGGTCCTATACGACGTGGTTTTGAATTTTAATTTTGACTATAATTGTTTGTTATTCAGTTCACATTACGAATTTTTCTTAAAAAATTATAAATTACATGTTTGTATCTCGTGTTATACATAAAATAAATTAAAATTGGTGTTGAAATATGAAAAAAATAAAGAATTACAAAATCTATTAGCTTAAATCTCAAAACAATATCGTTTTGGTCAAGGTACACAATACTAGGACCCTGGTCGACGATATAAATTGCCTATAACGCTTGGGTGGGGATTGGGGAAGGGCATTGTCGAATTCGGGTCGTATCTTCTGTGTGCTCGGTAGCCTCCAGGAAGGAAAACGCTACAAATCTTCATCACGAGTTTCCATCAATTCAATTGGATAAATTATGTCTCTTCATCGTTGAATTCAAAGCCCTTCCCTTACCTGAAAGTCAAAGAACGCGAATTCGTGTTAAGCGGAGAAGAATATTCTTCTTTCTATTTGTTTTATTATTCTTAATAAAGGAAACTCGGATAAGATTTCCGTTCGGAATCGCAGTATCGTTCGTCGGTTTCTCTGTAATTTGCTTATCTGATCAATCTCGTCTCTTGGGCTTCAGATTTGCTCCTTCATCAGTGGTGAGCATCCCTGAATTTTTGGTTACAAAAGGGTTTATGGTATTTATCGATTTTATAATTTGAATTTCACAATTTGATATGAACATACATGTTAATGTTGCATCGATATATGCACTTGAATTGGAATTGCGTTTCTCGAGGATTGAATTGATGTTCGTGCATCCAAAGTTTGAATCTTTTTAATCGCTGTAATGAGCTAGAAGATGCAAATATCAGATTGTGCCGTAAGCTTAATGTGAATTTTATGTTTGATTAGTTAAGTTACAGATATGCAGAGCCAGGTGGTTTGTAACGGGTGTAGGACTATTCTTCTTTATCCCAGGGGAGCCTCAAATGTCTGCTGTGCAGTCTGCAATGCCCTCACTCCTGTCCCGCCTCCTGGTATTGTTCCTTGATCTTTTATTGAATTCTGAAAGGTCCATGATTTATCACTGCATTTCTAGGTGTTAGTATGTCCCTATTGGAATAGAAAATTGAATATATGAAAAAAAAACCACTAATAATAGTAACATGTAATCATTGTAGAGTCTTGATGAGTGCACTCTTTTATAATTTCTCTGATTCATGAGCTTCTCAGAACAGGGTGAAAGCTTTAAAATTTTAGGTTTCACAGGACATGATAGTGAATGGTCTGCATCATAGGCATAACAATGGTGTATGCTTGTATTTGGACTTGATGAGGAAATCATGAAACTAATCCAACTAGAAATGGTCTGCCCTATAGGAAATCATGCTTGTATTTGGACTTGATGAGCAGGGGATTAAAAGAAAAAAGAGATGAACAAAGAGTAAAATGAACACAAACATGATAGAAAAAAGAAAAGATGATAAAATTCTGGTGTTAAACAATAAATGGAACAGAATGGAGAAACATCCTCTAAAGTTGCAATGCCTTATAATCATGCATTAGCAAGGTAGAAAGGTGCATTTATGTCTATAGGGCTAAGTCATGGAATTTATATCTATAATACACAGTAGATGTGCTTATTTTCAGTTCTTTAGGTTTTCACTTAAACATGTTCTTCACGCAGCAATGGAAATGGCTCAACTCATATGTGGAGGCTGTCGAACACTGCTGATGCATCCCCGTGGGGCTACTAGTGTGAGATGTTCATGCTGTCATACGGTTAACCTTGTGCCAGGTAAAAATATTAAAATTTGCTTGCATATGATATCATTGATATGAGCAGTTAACCTTTGATGTGATTAGCAAAAGTATGAAGATTTGTGTACTGTTGTAGATATGCATTTCAAATACTCTGGTTCACGTGTTGGATTCTTTACTTCAACAATGTAAAAGAATGAAAGTTTAGCGCTATTCTAAGCTAAATATGCATAGGGAAATGAGAGAAAGCTATAGCTAGGACTATCTAGGGTTCGAACTCCCTTCAAAATGTCTAAAAAACGGCTTAAATATGCAGTGTGTGTGGTGCATGGGTGTGCCCTTGCCCAGTTGCCCGTGCAAGTCTGGGCCGTAATTGCACTCCTGCTGGTGCACTTGTTGTGCACGTGCAACTTGTCCAATGTTGCACTCCATGCACATGCAAGTGCAGCCACAATTGTTATACCATGGACCAGGGTCCACCTTGATTGTGGACCCTGGTCCAAAAATTACGTGTATTATGTGCTTTTAGTTAATAAATTATGTGCCTATAAATAAATTGAAGGCACATATTCTATTAACTGCAGACACATAATCTGGATGTCACTTTGGACTAGGGTCCACAATGCAAGGTGTACCTTGGTCAATTGTATAATTTGCCGTGCAGCCATATGTCGACTTTGGATTGTCCTATGCTCTTCTTGAGTGTCCCAATGCTCCTTATGACTAGAAATTGTCCAAAATTGACCCAAAAATGTTAATTTCTCTTCAACTCATCTAATGGTGTACCTAAATATCAAATCAAAGCAATTAAGGCACATTTCTCTCTAAATCCACAGAAATGCTATACAAAAATGAGTCCAAGTATGGTCTAAAATATAGTCATAAATGCACTTATCAATATACGAAGGTTTGAGGCCTGCTTTTTGATTACATGTTTTCTTGCATAGTTGCATAGTTGCATTGTGATGCGTATGAAGTTTGGGTGAGATTACCTTTTTTGTGTGAAGAGTTGAAGAAAAATTATGGTTAGTTGATACTTGAATATAATATTGCAGGGGGTAGGCACAACTCATGTTTGCTGAATTTGTTGAATCACAAAACTCTGAGCGTTTATTGGCAATAATTTAAGTATATAACCAATGTTTAAGAGGATTTATTACATAAATCAAAGATTTTAAGTGGGCTTATGTGTTCTGAGTAAGTTTTTTGGTAAACTTTATGATTCAGTAGTCTTCTAGGAAGTATTATTTCTCTCTTGACTGTTTCAGACTGTTGATAGGCAATGAAGTTAGTTCATGTTAAAAGTGCAACATGATAATGGCAGTTGAAATTTTGAAATATGATTAATTCAACTCTGTGCGAGTATCAGCATTCACCGAGTGATGGTCGTAGAAAATAGTCTCAAAGAGCATTGGATAAGTTGGTGGTTAGAGCTCACTGGATTCTCCTTTGTATATGAAAGCTGTTTTAGTCTTTTAGCTTGTAGTTTATTGCTTTTAGTTGTGGGTTTTATGCCCTTCTCTTGCACATTCATGCCCCTTTTAATTTGAGTGAAATTTTTCCTGATGTACAGGACCAAACCAGTTTGCTCATGTTAACTGTGGAAACTGCCGTACAATGTTGATGTATCCGTCTGGAGCTCCCTCTGTTAAGTGTGCTGTGTGTCACTTCATCACTAATGTTAATGTGAGTATAGCTTCTTCCTAATCTATATTACGTCTACACTATTGTTTTCCTGCACATCAGACTTCATAAAGTCTGCACTATTGTTGCCAATTAATTTGTTCAAAACTGATATTTAAATGAAAGAGAATGGAAACCACTCCAGTCACGGCATTCTTCTTAGAGGAAAATTTCCATAAGCATGGCTTCAATCATGTTTATGTTGTGGACCCAACAAAAAAACTGTTTTAAGGGGATCTGAGAGCTCAACCCTGACCCCAACCCTGCATCTGCCACCCATTCCTCCTTTGAAAAAGTAAAGACAAGCAAGAAAAAGGAAGACCCATAATTAGAAAACCTTTAAGGTTAGAATGTATTTGGGATCTGTACTCTGGTTGATCTCTGATTTAGCAGTGAGGTAGGTTAATGTTGTCTGTACCAAAGGGGAGTGATTCAGACAAATAATATTTGATCTGCTAAGAAACCAAAGTTTTGTGCTTGCCAATTATTCCAACTTACAATGTTAATCTGAATAGGAGAAAAATATAATATTAACCATGCTTTTTGTCACAAGCCTAAAACATGAAGTGATAGAAAATGAAAACAAAAAATCTTTCACAAATGAGATAACCCTAGAACATCTAGTTGCTTTAATGATAATATCATCATTTTCCCTAGAAGCTCTCAGAATACTGTTTTTCTTTATCTTGCCACGTAATTTATCTGTACAGTTTACCATTATCACATCTGGGATACATTTTAAATCTATAAGCATGTCAATTCTACGTGCATTTTTCTAGCAGGCAGGAGATACAAGAGCGCCTATTCAACCCCACACACCCAATGGAACTGCTACATCTTCATCAATGACACCTTCTTCGACAGTGAGTTCTCCAATCTCCAATGTACTCTTTTGTACTTACCAAGTGTTAGATCAGGATTCTGAATTGAATATTGTTTCATGTGCTGCAGGCTACATCTCGACCACAGAATCAAACTGTAGTTGTCCAGAACCCCATGTCAGTTGATGAAAGCGGGAACTTGGTAAGCCTCCATGCTGTAAATTTTATTTCTGCCACTTGTGTCCATGCCATTCGGGTATTTACAATCATCCATGTAAATGGTAGGTGAGGAACGTTGTTGTTGGTGTGACAACAACGTAGAGTTGGCGGTGGAACATCTTAAATCTCATTGGTTTGCATCCACTCCAGAGGTTAGCTTACTCTATTGGTAAAGATGAATATAGAGACGATGAGTACCTGCATTTGAAATGTGGTAAATGATTGGTGGTGTTGATATTGTAAAGAAAAATCGCGGCTATTGTGAAGATTTTGGTTGTAATTTGTGTACTGTATTGATTTGCTGTAGATGGAATTTTCATGTTGTGATTACTCATTTGACATTCATCAGTTCTGTATGTACCTAAACACTACTGTACTCCATGTAAACACCATTACTGGAACTGGGTAGTGGTGATGATTTTCACGTTTCAACCTGTGGATTTTTACATGTTATAGGGTGTTTGGTTGGCAGTAATTGTAATTCTTTTCCAATGGTATTCAGCAGTCATGAAATTCTTATTTTCAATAATTCTATTTTTTTCCCTAATAAATAATGTAAATTGAATTTTTATTTTGTTTTTACTTTTTTTTTTCTACAATATACAATTTCTTTCTCCCAACCAAATACCCTGTTATTCCCAAGCCGTACTTCGTAATATATATTGATTGCTCTAAGCCTCTCACTAGAGCAAATGTTTGTATTGCATAAATAGTTTCAAGCATGAACTAGTATGATTAGTTGATAACATTAGCTGATTGTAGGAACGTGTTTGATTGTAGGAACGTGTTTGGTAGGGGTGTAAATGAGCCGAGCAGCTCGCGAGCGGTTCGCGAGCTGCTCGGTCAAAATCGAGCTCGAGCCGAACTCGAGCGGTTCGTTTAGTAAACGAGCCGAGCTCGAGCTCAAATATTCTAGGCTCGCGGCTTGTCGAGCCGCTTGCGAGCCATAATTAAATAAAAAGATAAATTATATATATATATATATATATATATATATATATATATATATATATATATATATATATATATATATATATATATAATACTTAAAACTCGCAAAGTAGGAAAACCCTAAATCTATTGGACTTGTTTAATTTTTTTAAAAGATTTTATTATTTATGTATGGATAAAATAATATTTATTATTAATTGTTATATGAATTCAAATAGGTCAAACTTGAGACTAAAATTGAGTCTGAACTCGAGCTCAAATCAAGCCCGAACTTGAACAATCGAGCAACTTGAGCCGAGCTCGAGCGGCTCGAAAAATTGTCGAGCCGAGCTCGAGCATCATTTTTCAAGCTCGATCGAGCTCGAGCTCGAACTCGAGCCGAACCATGCTTATCGAGCTCGAGCTCGAGCCAACCCATGCTTGAGCTCGACTCGGTTCGTTTACACCCCTAGTACTGTTTGGTAAATTAGTTTTAGTTGGTAGTTGTTTAATATAATTTCTTTTCTCAAAAAGTTAATTGAAAAAGTTATTTTGAGCAACTTTTTAAATTTTAACATTTTGAAGTTACAAAAAACTGATTAATCAAACACTTATATTTATTTTTTGACCAAATCAAACAGTTAACAGTAATCGAATAAATTAAAACTGGCTAATAGGTTAACTATTTTACCAAACAGGTCAGTATCTAATCATTGCATTTGACTAACTATTCATACAAACTATAAAGCATGTTACAGACACAACTACTCCCTCTTTGTACACTTCGATAGTTGGCCTCAGCACTAAGTGTTATGTGTTAGATACGGGATCCAAAATCTAATATTATAATTATCTCAATTATCCTATCACTAATCAATTTAAAACTTTTAAGATTAAATTTACTCTACAGTATATGTTGTTTAGAACATTTTTTATATTATTTATTTTTTTTTGGTAGAGTTTTATATTATTTAATTGCTACATACTTGATTAAATAAAAAATTTTATTTGCCCCCCAACAAATAAATTCAATGTGAGTTTTGTGTTGACTCTACCGCCTCTACAACCTAAACGAAAGAAAAGAAAATAAAAAGAGAACAATAATGTGCTCAGGATGACCATCACTTTGACGCACCAAGTAAGCACGTGCACTACACGCACACCAACAGAGCCTTTTATTTTTATTTTTTATCCGAATTTACGAAAAACTACTTGCAAATCTATTTTCACAATCTCTCATCTTTTCTTTCTTTTATCTAAAAAAAAAAAAAAAAAAAAAAAAAAAAACTACTCCGTATTATTTTATCATTGTTGTGTATGCCTTAAGATTGATCATAATTTTAAAAGAAGATAAAAGTGAATAGAAATTAAGGTTAAAGTTGATTAAATGCCTCGTCAAACACTTCCTTAAATGACGGTAGACATTCACATTCTTTCTTGCCAGTTCTTGAAGAAGACTCAAGAGCATTCCGACCTACTTTTATGTCTTGTTCTTAGGTCCCCTTCCACTCTTTTTTATTTTTTAATTCTCATTTACTGATGCCCCAAGACCAAATATTTTGTCGACGATTTCTTGACAAGTCTCAATTTTAACACAATTATCTTATAATGTGTTAGGATATATAAACAATAAAAGAATTGGTATCAGCAAAAACAGAACCAAACACGTGACTATTCAATTATAAGAATTATCTTCCACCCACTTAACTATTTCATTTGGAACCCTGTATTATGTATTATTACTCTATATTATATTTAAGACCTTATATTACCTTGGATCTAGTCATGAAGTGACTCTCCCGGTCAAATAAGAAGTTATGAGTTTGAACCCCAGTGAGGGCGATATTAACTTTTTGTGCTTCAGTCCAATACAATGAGAAAGTAGCATTACATTGTAATAAAATCAATAGTAATAAAAAAAAGTGTTTTTAAACATAACGACATTTAACCATCTTAAGTGAGATGAATAATATTTTCCAACTAAAATATAATACCTTCCTAACTCATAAAAGGTAACATTTTAAACGTAACCATATTGTTTCTTCGCGTCCGGGACCAACAATAGAATTGTTGTCCATTTGGTAGACTGGAATTTAACTACATAACATGGTTGATCAAAGTCCACCATCATTTCACGACCGTTTACCAAATTTTGTAGTTAAATAATAATATCTAGTATATACATTTTATGCATCATACCCAAATATTAGCCGCCATGAAAGTTGCAATCGTTATATCGTGTGCATGCATATTGTGAAGTATGACTTGCAGTTAATATATTATATATTTTTAATTTATTTACATATAATTTATATATTACGAAAAAATTAATTATATTTTTAGTCTCAGATAAACAAGTGATATTCTACTTTTAGTCTTTGTTTTTTTAAAAATATTTTAGGTTGGTCCTAGTATTGCTGTGGTCTGATCATATTTAAATGGAGTTAAATACGTGAATCTACATTACAGAAATTATGAATCTACAATACATAAATTATGAATATGCAGTATAGAAATTATGAATCTACAGTATAGAAATTATGAATGTACAATGCACATGGTGGACACGGGTCCATAGCATAATTTGTCCATTCGAACCCCCTCTCGTATGAAAAAATCAATTTGATCAGCACTTTGTCTTTTAATTGGACCGGCCCGGTGCGAATGAGGATTAGTTTAAATATGGTACAGGTTTAAAGATGCCTCTGCCTCCCAATTAAAGCCTGTTCAGGACACCTCGTGATCTGAAAAAAAAATGAAGAATGTAGATAGTTTCAAAAGTATTCATATTTATTAATTAGTCAGTTATATAATCAATCAAAAAAAAAAAACAAAATAATTTTAATCAAAATATATTGGGTGAATTTTTCTTTAGAATATGACATTATTATTTTAAAATAGAAAAGTAGAAAACTTCCAAACCTAACCATGTGTACGCCAGCCAACCTGCCAATTGCGAAGAATAGATTATAGAGGCTTCAGATTTGCATAAATGTCAACACTAAATTAAAATACAAATTTTTAAAGGAAAATTATATTATTCAATAAAAATGTCACCGTCACTACGTCCGCATTTGTGTTAGGTATTTTAATACTATAATTAATTATTATATCGTGCGTGTATAATAATGTATATATAACTAACAATTACTTTCTCATTAATCATAAACAATTTAATTAAACCAAATAATATATTCAATTATATTCGAATTGAAAGTGAATAATCTCAATGTCTTCTAAACTTCTAGACGTACTAGAGCAAACATGCTAAGGAAATTGAGGGAAAATGTGGTGTCATCAACTAACATATTAACTATTCATAAACCTGTCGATAAAGGTTGTTAAATTGATAAGTCTAAAAAGTTCAATTGATGGGTTCGGTCAATACGATTACTAGTTTTTAGTACATATAAAATAACTCATGATAGAATTATATGGATAAAAAATAATAAAGTAACATACAACCGTATATGATTATCCATGAGCAACTCAATTGGTCACAGAAGTAAAGTTTAGAAACAATAATATGGGATCGAGTCTTACTAGCGGCAGTGTAGGATCAACCTCTCAAAGTGAATGAGCTCCTTGTGCGCAGTAAGCAAATGTCTAGCCTTTGCGTTCAACTCAGTAAGCAAAGGTCTAGCCTATGTAGTTAACTGAGTTACCATGATTTACATCCCCCGCTCTGTCGGACATGGGTCCCTTAGATTTTTTTTTTCTAATAATAACAATAACAATTAATTAATTCATATATGAAGGAGGATAAAAGTAAACTTGATATGGTAGAATGGAATATACTTAAGATATAAAAGTATAATTGCACAGATATTAATATAATTTCATAATAACAATTGCCTAATAATTATTATGATAATTTAACTAAACATGGATTGTTGTATTTATTTTTATAATAATTACAATTAAATTATTTCTCATTTTTTCCCAAATTTATTCTTGTAAGAATATAATTACATAAATTATATAACATATCTATTTTTTAAGATAATTGCAGACAAACGAGTTATATATTACTCCGTATTCAATTAATTGAGTGATACTTTTGCACTAATCTTATAATCAAATAAATGTATACTTTCAAATATTAAAATTATTTATAATTTCATCTTTAATTTTATTATCTAAATATATTAATATATAATAAAAAATTATATCCGTGCATCGCACGGGTAATTGGACAATTATTTGCTCGAATTTAAGTAATGATAATATCATAAAACATAATCGATCCAACTCATTCCATCAACTGCACTATATAATATTTATTATTATAATTTATATTTGTATATCAATCCAAATATTCTTTAAATATTATAACAAATGCATTTCGTTCAACGCACGGGTGAAAAAATTAGATTATATTAAGAATGCAATTGCCAAAATCAAATTTAGATGGGATATGGAGAGCTACTATTTATACTAGTATATGACTTTAATTTAGAGTCTAGAATACTATAAGTTACTAGTATTTGCCCTGTGCAATGCACGGACAAAAATTTATAAGTATTGTTGTAATGTTATGATACAAAACTGAATTAATTT